GGTAAATATATATATATACACAATGTTAAGGAAGACGTGAACCATTTCAAGGGCTTTTAGGAGGTCAAATGTGACAGAGGAGAGCAAGTACTCAGCAATTCGACTAGACACACCCTCCAACAGAAGCGGGCCTTATTTGGAAAGACCAGTAAGAGAATGCTGTTGCCTCCAAACGAGGTTGGACCATACATGATGATTATATTGTAGAAAAACTAGAAGTGTTTGATAACTTAGTATTTGATAATGGTCATTGTCAGATGAAGAAAGGAATAACATTAATAACATGGTTTGCCTTGTTTCTGTAAAGTTTAATAGAAAAATCCTTGCTCACCTAGTAATGGTCTCTCCCATCCTGTGCTCCCCCCTCCCCAAAAAAAACCCTCATTTTTTCTAGTGTTGCCTTGGCCACTGGCTTTCACTCTGCCAGGACAGGTTTACATTGTAATTGAACTCTGAAGTTTCTGGCTGGCCTCAGGCAAGTTGCTAGTTCTGAAGCTTCTGTCCCTCTGTCTATTAAATGAGAAGTGTAAGGGAGAAATCCTAAAGATACTCAGAAGTAAGTCCCATTTTCTTCAATGGGGCTTGTTCCCAGGAAATCATTCTTAGGACTGCAGGCTAAGGCACAGTTATTTCTGGAATGGGGCGCAAAGGGGAAGGAGTGAAAGATTATCACGGACAATTAATATGTATGAATGAGTGTGCTGTACCACTATCGTTGAAGTTTTATCTCTGAATAAAAAGAACAATGAGTATCTCTAGGGTCAAAGTTAGGGACTTCTTCCTATTACACTATCTGTGACTGAATATTCATTTGCGTTAAGGGTGCTGATGTGGGAATGTATTTCTGTAAATCACATGTTACTGTGATCTCAGGTGTGAGCTAATAAGTTGTCACTATTTTATTCCTGTCATGTTGGAACTGTTGTTCAGTTGATTTCAAACCATACTAGATAAAGCAAGATCTGACAATTCTCAAGACCTCAGTAATCTCATATGAATGAGTGTGCTGTACCACTATCGTTGAAGTAGGCAAGCCATCTCTGAATAAAAAGAACAATGAGTATCTCTAGGGTCAAAGTTAGGGACTTCTTCCTATTACACTATCTGTGACTGAATATTCATTTGCGTTAAGGGTGCTGATGTGGGAATGTATTTCTGTAAATCACATGTTACTGTGATCTCAGGTGTGAGCTAATAAGTTGTCACTATTTTATTCCTGTCATGTTGGAACTGTTGTTCAGTTGATTTCAAACCATACTAGATAAAGCAAGATCTGACAATTCTCAAGACCTCAGTAATCTCATAGAACAGGAATGTAATATAGAACTGGGAGCTTGAACAAACCGGTATGAATTGTTACTCATTTCTTTTGTGAAACGTGTTCCTTACCAACATATTTTTAGAAAACACCTGCATTTTTTAACTTGGGAAGACGTAGACATCTTTGTGAGATACTGAGATGTTTGGGGGCATTCTTAACCCAAAAAAAAGGAGGCCTTTTCAGTTTTGTTTGAAAAGTGTTGTAAAAAGCATGTGTCAATGACGGATGTTCTGTTATTAACAGGGAAGCACAGTTACAGTGAAATGCCCAAATCAATTCACAGTGTAAGCTATGATCTTTTATTCTATTAGAAAACACCAAATTTCCTGGTCCAGTCATTTATATTGACTTCCAAATGCTTATGTTAGCTTACTTCATTGTGATCTCTCCACTACCAGGTATCGGTAGCTGGATCAACAACTGGAAGAGGATCTCCCTCAGTAACTGTAGTGCAGTTGCCTTCTGGTCAAACAGTCCATGTGCAGGGAGTGATTCAAGCCACCCAGCCTTCAGTCATTCAGTCACCACAGTTGCAATCTGTTCAGGTTAGTCATCTCTTCCATATCTTACTCCAGGCTTTGCTTAACCTTCACGGCATCTTGGGCTTCTCATCATTGTCCCAGCTGTGGACAAAAGAATCTCTTGTACTTAAATGTCAAGGGTTGGTTGTTGCCAGACTAATATTTTGCTTGTTGGCAGTAGGAGGAATATATTAATATCTTGTGTTTACTTCTTTGATTGTGTCAAGGCACATTGTGTAGGCACATAAATAGTATAAATATAGCTTTTTTGGGCTGTCCTTTTCCCATGTGTTCCACTTTTTTCTTCTTCTAGGTGATTTCATAGCACAAAGTAATTCATATATTAGGCAGGCGTGGAAGTCTGCATGGCCAGTTTGCCATGCTGTGAAAACTACCTGGCACAGGCATATAAAGCATATACTGAATTTTAAGTATCTCATATTTCTTTTAAGAATGGAGTCCATAGTCCTCCAGACTGTGAACTTTTCACTTTCAGAAATGTAACTGAGTATATTTGACACTGTAAACATTTTATTAGAGAACCTTGGCTGTCACACACATTGTTTCCCAGCATCCTTTATACCAGGGATCCCCAATATTTTTGAACCTGTGGACACCTTTAGAATTCTGACACAGCATGGTGAGCGCAGACACAAAGTTGGTTGCCTCAAAATGGCTGCCACAACTTACCTGCAATTACACAGTAAAGACCCTTGTGCTGTTGTGGCACCTATGTTGGCAGCTGCTGACCGAGCAGTGTTTTTAAAAATTTGCACAGCCAATTAAGTCTCCAGTGGCCAGTCAGAAGCCTTGCTGGGCGAAAGCCCCACCTGGCCCCGCCCACCTTCTAAATACACTTGGCAGGCACCGCTTTGGGGACCCCTGCTTTATACAGTGCTCCAGTTGCTGCCAAGCCGCAAACATTCCAGAATGCCTCCCGATGGGTTTATTTCAAATACTGTACTAGAGAATACTGTTTGGTTTCCAGAATAGGAGTTTTTCCAGTTCTGATTTCATATATTCTTCCTTGATGAAATAAGTGTGTGTGTGTGTGTATGGTGTGGTGTAGTGGTTGAGAGCAATGCTCCCTCTAAGCTGTGGAGTCTTGTGAGCAAAAATTCTACTTTGTGTGCTACTGGCATTAAAGTTGTGAGCAAGCGATTTTGGCTGCTGCATAAATTAGTTTTGCTCTGGAGCCGTCCTTCCTGAGCTAAGACAAAAATGTGTGAGCTGGAGGCTAAAGAACTGTGAGCTAGCACACACTAACTCAGCTTAGAGGGAACACTGGTTAAGCGTGTCAGACTAGTATCTGGAGGACCCGGGTTCAAATAATCACTGATGCCATGGATGCTCACTGGGTGACCTTGGGCCAGTCACCCTCTCTTAGCCTAACTTACCTCACAGGGTTGTTAAGAACAGCCCTTATTCTCACCGTGCCTAATGTGTCTGTAATATGTATCTGGATTCACCTTACACTCATGCACACACTACATTTCCTTTGGTTTTGCAGGGAGAACTAATAGAAGCTAGATGGCCCTTCTTTCCATTTCCTTTTCATGCACACTATGATCTCGACTGGCTTTTTCTTTTCCTTTTTCCCCTACATGCAGAACACTTTCCTTTTCTGATTTTGAATTGTGTTCCATTGGCACTTTTATAACCTTGCTCCAGAAGTCCACTTCCATCTGCAAAGCTTTTCCCTAGTCAGCTCTGTCTCACACTCCTAATGGAGCCCAGGGAGGCTGTGGAAACTGTGAACCACTGCATGGAGGCAGTTTTGGTATAGATGAGGGCTAATAAACCGAAACTTAATCCTGACAAAATGGAGGTGCTACTAATAGATGGAAGAATCCAATCAAGAATTTAGGGTGTCTTCTGTTCTGGTTAGGGTTGCACTCCCCATGAAGGAGGAGGCTCATAGCTTGGGGGTGCTGCCCAACCTTGGGATCTTGTTGGAGAATAAAGTGGTGATGGTGACAAGGCGCAGGCTTCATCAGTTTCACCCAGTAAGCCAGCTGCAACCTTTCCTGAGCAGAAAAGATCTTGCCAGTGCAGTGCATGCCTTGGTAACATCTGGATTAGACTACTGCCATACCCTGTGTGTGGGGCTTCCCCTGATGAGTGCTTGAGAACTACAACTGGTAGAAAATGTTGTGGCTGGAATGCTAACTGGAGTGGGTCGTAGGGATCATATCACTCTGATCTTGTTTACCTATACTGTTTCTGAGCCCAATTCAAGGTGCTGGTATTGACTTTTAAAGCCCTATATGTCTTGAAACCAGGATACCTTAAGAACTGCTTACTCCCATATGAACCTGCCTGATCTCTGCCATTTTCTTCAAGGGCCCTGTTTTGGGTGCTCTGATCTTCTGAGATGACATGGCTAGTTATCCTGCCCCCCCCCCCCCCGAAAAAAGGGCCTTCTCTGTTGTGGCACCAAAACTATGGAATTCTCTTCCTAGGGAAATAGGTTTGCTCCCCTGTATCATTGTCTTTTGCCAGTGGCAGAATATAAATGTCTGTATATATTTTAAAACTGATTTTAATGTTTCTGATTATATCCTGGTCTGCAGGCCAAGTTGGTTAGAAAGACAACAACAATGTTGGAAGTAAATTATTTTTCCTATATCCATTTCCTGTATCTATGTGAAACTGACTTATACTGAGTCAGACCACTGGTCTGTCTCGCTCACCTGCAACCTGAGATCCTTTAATTAGAGATACTAGACAGTGCACCTGGGACTTCCTGCATTCTCTGTAGTGAGCATCCAGCAAGCAGCACTAAATACATTTATTTGTGAAAGAAAACAGATACCCCGGGTACATGCAGAGTGGAAACAATGGGGAAGTTGCTGTGCATGTTGACCCGCAGCCATGATTTGGTGTCTGAGTGAAAACTGGGATTATCAACATCCTGAATATATCATTAGAAGTTATTGCCACACTTTATCATTTACATAGGACTACACTTTTAAAATTGTAGACTACTTTCTGACAGTGCTGCAAGGGAGGTCACTAATATTAGAAGCCAGGATTCCATACTTGGACTTGGGCAGCAATTGCGCAGAGTTCTGATAGAAGAACCTCTAGAGCTGCACCCCATTTGTACTGTAGGCATAACTTGTGCATGAACTTTCTCGGCTCTGTTCATATTGTAGGTAGCGTCTGCTACAAATGCAGATGAATCGACAGAATCGGAGGCTGTAATCGATCCTCAGAAGCGCGGGGAAATACTTTCAAGGAGGCCTTCATACCGGTAAGCTCTGCTTTTTTTTTTAACCAGGTCAGTCTTTGCTTTCTGATTAAAAATCAACCACTCTTTAGGAGTCCTGAACACATGCCTGTCCATCTTTGCATTAGAAAAATTCTGAATGATCTTTCTTCTGATGCACCTGGTGTCACTAAGATTGAAGAAGGAAAGCCAGAGGAGGACGGAGCACCCACTGGCATTCCCACCATGGCAGTGCCAACCAGCCTTTACCAGACTAGCACTGGACAGTACAGTATGTATGCCATCTTATCAGATAGACTTCTTTTTGTTTGTTCTACCTTTAATGCGATTTTGAAACTTGGAACTGTTGGGGAGAAGGCAAAAAGAGGATGGAAAGTTCTGCATTAAAGCTTGCATTCACTTCACTGGGACTGAATTTGGCAGATAAACAGGCCCACAGTGACTCACTCCTGTCTATCCTATCCTGTTCTGTCTTAAAACACAAACATTATTCATGCTTCCAAGGCTACAGCTGATAACAAGAAAGAAGCTCCTTTGCCTTCATGATGAAGAAACATGAGGGAACTTTTAAGCTGTGGTCATTTTAAAAACATCTCCGTACAAAATCTCAGGATGCTTGCTTCTTGGAAAGTTCCCAGGTTAACTACTGTAACAAGGGGATCCAGTTTGGCTCTTCTCTCATAGGTTTGGCTAACACTGCTCTGGTGGCTCCTACCACTTTTCCAGGGAAATATTTATTTCCTCAGAGCAGTGCTGTGTTAAGCTAAGCCATGCCTGAATCACAGAAGTGTAGCCCAGTTCCTGGAAAAGTGGTGGTAGACCAGTCTTCTGACATTTGAGGCACTCTGTTTTTCTGAGTTAGCATTGGAGCCATGCATTACTTTCACCTCCTAGAAACCTGGAAGGAGGCACACACAGGACAGAGATTGATAGACATGCAACAGGTGACCTACTCTGAGGGCAGGTAATTTGAGCATGTCTCCATATCAGGTGTCATTGGATCTGTAAACCCCCTCTAATCCAGAGAGACCGCAGAATGATTTGCTCTTGTAGAGGGCAGTAGATTGGGAGGTGGTGTCTCAGGACATCCCAGGAGCATTGAATTAATGCTTTATGGTGGCACCTAGATAGCATTCTCAAGGCATGCAAATGTGCTCTGGAACAAGTTCTAGTCCAGTAGCACCTTAAAGACCAACACAATTTTCCAGGGTACCTGACAAAGTGAGCGTTGACTCACATAGGCTTATACCCTGGAAAAATGTGTTGGTCTCTAAAATGCAACCGGTCTCAGATTTTGTTCTGCTGCCACAGACTAACACGGCTACTTATCTGAACATACACCGTGGCTAACTGCCTTGGAACCTGTTTCATACTCTTGTGTCTGTGATCTGACATTCCTTTTGCTTTTGTTCAGTTGCTATAGCCCAGGGTGGAACAATCCAGATCTCTAATCCATCATCTGATGGTGTTCAGGGGTTGCAGACATTAACCATGACAAACTCAGGAGCTCCTCAGCCTGGTGCTACCATTGTACAATATGCAGCTCAAACATCAGATGGCACGCAACAGTTCTTTGTACCTGGGAGTCAAGTTGTTGTCCAAGGTAACTTTTCCCCCCCTTCAAGTATTGTTTTCCTAGTGATGTCGGTAATTCACAGGGCTGTCCTAAAGGTAGTTACACTCTTCTGAGCTCATTGATCTTAGTAGATTTAACAGTGCAACTCTGCTTAGCATCGCATTGCCAGCTGGCAGAGAAGGGTTTCTAATTTGGTGGCTATATTAGTCTACGAAGTATAAGACGCATGTGGCTCTCTGTTGTTTCTGACTTATAACAGTGGTTTGGTTGGCAAAAAACATAACAAAGCAAAGGATTAGAGAAAAGTTTTTAAAATAATAGGCTTGTCTTTATCAAAGATTGATATGATCTATGTAAATGCCTGTAAGAATTTTTTAGGTATGTAACAGTTAGTAGTGTTCAATGGAACAATAATTATTGAAAACACTAATGTATACTTTTCTTGCTTCAACCAACTATTTGAAATGGCTTTTGTAACTAAAGATGTGAAAGTTCACATAACAATTGGAGCTTTTAGCTTTTTCACGCATTGCATGAGAACAAACTTAGGTTTGCCCCTAAATGTATGACCAATAAGGAACTGTATCCAATCCCAGCTTTCTAATGTGCTCCTCTGAAATATGCGTCACCTGACACTTGTGTATCATGTTAATGCTTTTTAGAAATACATTTTGTAAATTTTGTAAATTTAAGATTTAATGTGTGTAGTAGTCCATAGTTTACTTAGGAAGTAAGATGGTAGAAAGTATGGATATATAACTGTTGGAGGCACATGCAAAGAAAGCTGGAGGCAATATTTGTAAAATGTGCTAAGTAATGCTAAAGAGTCACTTCAAGTAGATTTTCTGGAGAGGTGGGCGTAGAATTGTTCTAAATAAATATAAACATATGCACATTTGACCTAACATGTAGGTGATAACTGGTTCATCCTTTGCATGCCTGTTATCCCATGATCCTCCCCTACAAAACTCTGGCAAGGGCCGGGATTATGACTCCTCAGGCAAATGAGGCAAGGATTATGAGTTTAGGCTGTGATTTTAGTCATGTAGCCATCAGTTTTATGTTGAATCCAATTCATGAGGGTGGGATTGGTCCCTGTCCCACTGCTCCACTGTATATTGGTTGTACATTGTTTTGGTGTTACATGACATGGGCTTAAGAAGGCTAGCTAATGAGACGTCGACCACTTGGTCAGTGTTTCTTTTCTGGAAGAAGTGATGATGCTAATTGTCCAGGGAATCTTGTTGTTGATATCACAAGGAAAGTGAATGGATTTCTATTATTTTAGACAGTCGGGTTTTTTTGGTAGTGGCAGTTGTGAATGTTTCAGTAACTCCACTCTAGGCACTGATAAATTCGGTCTGAAATATTAGGATCTCATTTGGTTGGCATGTGTACAAACAAAGAAGCAAGCCAAAAAAACCCCAACACATTAAAATGATTGTGAGAGGTGACAGCTTGTTTTGTGCAAGGAATTTGAGCAAACAGGTATGTTCAGTAAAATTGGCCTCTAAAAATGGCAATAGAGAGAATTCCCACATTAATTTGAACAGTAAAGTCCTTTGCATTTGTAGTCTTCTTTAGTGAAGAACACCTTGTGTGGTCCTCATCTGAGGAGTAAACAAGATGTGGCAGTAAACATGTTTCTTCCACTGAAAATGGCAACCCCATTCTCCTTCTTCATCCATAACATCTAGTATCGTTTACCTTGTATACCACAATGTTCTGTGTGTCCCCATCCCCCCACAGCTACACATTGTTGGTTGAAGGGGCTGGGAAAGCACAGTGTCTTATGACTTCAGAACACACAGTTTGTTCTGCTAAGGAGGTGGCATGTTCTACTAAGCACTGCAGAGGAGTGAGGAAGCTAGATGCATGGTGGCCATTGATAGTTCACGTCTCATGGCCTGGTGTTTAGTACTCTGAGAAGAAAAACATGGCCTACCCCATATTCCCTTCCATTGACTAAGGAGCAAAGGTTTTGCTGCTTTTGAACATGCCCTAGACTTGGATCCAGACCAAGGCAAATGGAGTGGAGTTTGTTACTTGTCAGCAGAAAGTCTTTTTCTGAGGTCCTGCTCTGTGAGACCTCACTGGCAAAGGTGAGTGAGCTGAGCACTGGAGAGCCTCATTTCCTTTTCAAGCCCCCTGCTCTTCCTGAAAAGCTGCTTTTAAAGATTAAGGTATCATTTCCAAGGGCTGTAGTGGGTAGAGGGAAATCAGTGGCAGTTCTCTCTTGCATGCACTTGCCATGTGCATGAGCAGAGAGCAAGAGTTCATGCATGGGGAGTAGAGTTTCCACTGATTTCCTTGCTTCCATGCCATGTCCCAGGTCTCAAGGGTCACCCTGATGTCCCCCAGCGACTCTTTGAGTGAGAGCTACAGTGGGAAGGAGAGATCAGCAGAGAACTCTGCACCAGTCATGCGGGTTTGGGTCCAAGCTGCTATATCCAATATTTGCCCACAGGGAGGTAGTTGCACTCTGTCTGAAAGCTATCTGTACTGTTTGGTTCAAAGACCTCAGGAGAAACAGCGTTAAAATACTAGCTCAATCCTCCTGCATCATCCAACACTCAATTACTGTTGGTCAACCATCCAGTGGGTTGGACTACCTGCTCTAGTAGTTCTAGCAGAAGTGTGTCGTTCAGTGCCTGTAATGGTGGTGGAGGAAATTGGGATTATCAGAATTGGTGTTTGAGTGGTTGGTGGATACAGTGGCTTTGTTCTTCATTGGTCTCCCTATGACAGTTGTGGGGAGGAAAGGGCCAAGTTAATTCCATAAAGGAACTGAATAAATTGCCTTCTTTTAATAACAATGCTCAATTTGCACAATTTTACAACTGTTCATTCCTGCAAAAGTACTCTCAGCAGTGCGACTGGGGATGGTGGGGAGAGAATCATGATGTATCTATGGGCCTGTAGGTAGGGTTGCCAGCTCCAAGTTGAGGAATACCTGGATATTTGAGGGGTGGAGCCTGAGGTGGGTGGGGTTTGGGTAGGGGAGGGACTTCAGTGGGGTATAAGGGCATAGAGTCTATCTTCCAGAGCAGTCATTTTCTGCAGATGAACTGATTTCTGTCGCCTGGAGATCAGTTATAATAGTGGGAAATCTCCAGCTACCATCTGGAGGTTGGCAACCCTAGTTGTAGGGTAGACAGTAGCATGAGATAATACAAGAAACAATCCTTTCTGTATAGACAAGAGACTAAATGGAGGGGAAATAATGAGAAGTTATGGTGAATGACTCTAATACTGCCTAGAGGCATGCAGTTTTTACCACTTGGTATCACGCTTCCTTATATCAAGGGGTCATTGATGGGGGAAACTCTCCTGCTGGGAAAACTAAAGCATGCTTGAGTAGTCTGAGTAACCTGAATGTATAACATGCTACAACACCGTGGAAAAGGACACATAACCTAATACAAAACAGTTCTGTCGTGCCTCTCCCCTCCTGACTTTTCATGGACGTGGGATTCCATTTATGTTTCCAAAGGCAGTTTTGAACTAGCTTTAGCCCTTGCTTACAAACAGCCATGTCTGATTTGCAGCCAGTTCCCTGGGTTTTGTGTGTGTGCTTTTGTGCTGTTTGAGACAGCGAGGCAAGGGTATATGTATAAAAAAAGTGAATCAATTGTTTGTTGGTTGTGGTTTTCCCTGGGCTGCCGTTTCAACAAGCTGTTCCAGTGAGAAAGCACATTAATGACGGGGTAGGCTAGTGAGGTCATTATGATGTCAGTGCAGGAGCTTGTAATCCTGCACATGCCTGCTTGTTTGGACCATTTCATGTTCAGCTGGTGGCAGAGAAGTCTCTGAGCAGAAGCTGGCCATGGCTGTCACAAGAGATGAAACCGGTAGGTGATTTTGTAAGCTGCTTTTAAAAGAGGAAATTCAGGCTGCAGTCCTGCCCTGGCAGTTAGTTTGCTTGAATCTCATTAACTTCAATGAGGTTTAACCAGTCAAACTATGTGCAGGATCACACTGTGTCTTTTGCTAAAACATCCAGCATTGTTGAGATATACAGCATTTACTTGCCAAATAGACTTTAATTTTATTTTAAATGTCCTGTGTTTTCTTATTTCCCTAGCTGTTGCAGCATTTTAAGGGAAATTGACTAGTTTCATTTTTCTGCTTTTCCTATCCTCAGTCAAGCACTGAAACATCCTTTTTCTTTAGAAATGAAACAACCAACCTGTCTTCTTCTTGGTGGTGGTGGGGCTTTCTCTTTTCTTAGGCTGGAAATATCTCAAACATTTCTTCTTTGGCTCTGAGCAGTTGGAGGGAGTTGTGAGACAGGCTCTGTGGAGCTGTGTAATCAATCCCAGAGTAATAACATTTGTTGCCTACAGATCTAAAGGACAGAAATAAAACGGAGCAGTGCATGGTACGGTGAACGTTCTAACTCTGGTGTGATTTTTTCCCCCTATTCCTCTGTTTCCTCTGGTACTTGAAAATGGTCTGCTCCGCTGCTAATTGAGTTCAAAGGGGCTGACGTCACTTAGATTTCCTGGAATCGTGTTTCAGTTAACAGCGCTGGAAAAGTTAAACTCCACAAACAAAATACACATTGACGTCAGCCACGAGTCATGCTGTGATTTAGTCAGTTCCTTTCTGTTCTAGCTAGTGCTGCTGGCACTGTGTATAGTGTTCTTCAGTAGCCTGTGCTGTCTTTCTGGAGAAGAGGCTCTGGTTTGCGTAATTTGTTTGTTTTGATCCAAATGTCAGTCTCTCCTCTGAAGCTATATACCTAAAGAGCACTACCTCATGGGAACATGGGAGCTAGGAGCTGTCTAGCAGACTCAAGTAAAGTTTATAATCTTTCTGATAGTGCACGTGTATGTGTGGGGGGGTGGGGATGATGAAGCTGCTCTTCCTGTCTTGTAGTGTCATGTCTGGTTCTTCATTCTGGTAGAATTTTTGATTTCTAAGCACCCTGTGCTGAGATTGATAATTCCTTATGGAAGTTTCACTTTTTGTAGGGTGGGATATATTTATTTGGGTTGTTTTTTACCTGTTATAATTTTATCCAT